GAATTTCAAAATAAATATTTCACCATATCGTTTTAACATTTCCGCCATTGTTTCTTCCTCTTTGGGTAAACCTCCAATATCCTGCGGTAAAAATACCCGTGCCCCACCTGTCACTCCAAGTCGAATTGGTAGACGACCTAAAATCAAATATTTCTCCCAATATCTTTATGGCTATCAGAAAATCTATAACTTAAAACTTTACAAAGGAAAACTTGAAGCTGTTTGTTTAACTGGTTCTAAATAAATTGATAGCATATACTTAGGCATGCATAAATTACATACCAGTCATGAAACCTGCTCGACTTGGTGAGCACATACTATCAGCGGAGTAAGCCTGTGTAAACCGTACACCTTCATGAATCATATCGTCAATTTCGCTAACCTCTTGATTTGGATGTCCATAACTTTGCAAATCACCATAGCCTGAAATTAATAGGAAAATTCTTGAATTCAAATGAACGTATCGTTACGTTTGAAGAGTGTACAGGTTCCAATATCCATCTATAGAAGTAGAAATTACGGATAATCAGTAAACATTTGAAGATATTAGCAAAGAAAAAAAAAATTATGGCGTTTGAATTTGTTCTCACAGTTACTCGCTCTGTAAATTTCCTTCTGATTTAAATTAGAAGAAAAAATCAACATGATTCATACCTAAATCATCAACCATAAGAATCACAATGTTAGGCCGTTCCGGTGTTGCTGGCTGTATCTCACACTCATGATCAGCACATTCGTATGCTCTTCGTCCACCTATCAATCCTAAGCCATGTAATATAATTATCGAGAAGCTAAGCAAGCATCTCATCCTTACACCTAATTAGTTTGCCTTTCTTCTTTTTTTTTTTTATTGTTATTCCTCCTGAAATTAATTCACTGAAAGTAAAATGAGATAAAATGATCTTTTCTGATTACGTTCGAATCAACTCGCACGTAATGTACGAGACATACGAAACACTATAGACGACAAATTTCATTATTAGCATTATTGTTCTTTATAGAATTTTTTCTGTTAACATGTGATAGCAAGTGTAACAATAGAAAACAAACATCGATTTTTTTTTTTTGATTAACATTTTTAATTGTAAATGATGAAGATTGTCAAATAATGAGTATTTAAGTTCATGTTATATTTGTTCTTTTCACGTATACTTTTATTTCCAGTCAAAATGCAGCTATTCATTCAATTGTGAGATAATTGGTAAAAAAGAAATTTTATCTTCCATTTTTCATGAACAGATATTTCAACTTAAGCCAAATTGCACGCAACCGTTACCAAATGCTAATTTTCTTTTATTGAATGTTCAATATCATTTACAGGTATGTAGAAACATTAACCAACCGGTAAGTAATAATATTAATTATCAAGTGAATAGTAGTTCAGGTAAGTAGTTAATATTAACTGCACTCTGAAATTTCATTCATTTCATTGGCACATTTATTTCTTCCCGCACTAACATCTATAAGTCTACTAGTTAAATTTTTGGAGGAGAGTAAGCTATTAGTTACATACAATTAGCAAAATTTTAATAACAAATAACTTTTAGGTGTAATAGTTTTTTTTTCATTTATTTTTGAAGAAGTAGGACGAAATGAAGAGTTCCAACTTATTACACCTAAAAGTTATTTGTTTTTGAGATTAACAAAAAAAAAAAGTTCATCTAATTTCAGCAATTTAATAAATAAATGCTGAAAGGTTGCTGAAAAAAAGGTGAATCAATTTTTTCGCGCGTGGTAATTAATTCGAATACGGCGGGGAATAGGAATTGAAAGTGAGGAAATTCAGAAAGTGAGAATTAATTCCAATAGAGAAATTATAAAGCAATGAAATTTATGTAGTTTAGGAGAATAAGATGGTTGTACTTTCAAAGATTAATGAGCAAAAATTAACCAGCTATCCATTGAAAATTAAAACTTTGTGAATTTCGAATAATTATATGATGAAACTCGTCATCTTTCATCTTCTTCAGCTAATCAACCTGAAAATTTCGAGATTGTCGGATGAAAATAACCAGCATCTTTGCATGCTTAAACAGATAAATAAATTTGTATTCCGTGCCATTTGTTGATCTTTTCGGTAAACAGAATTAAAAAAGATGTAACAATCATTTGGGAAAGAAGGAAGAAAGATGTAGTTGAAGACTGCTGGGAACAAGAAACAAAGGTCACCTATCTCCCTCGGGATCCCCGTCTTGGATCGGGTCGAAAACTGGAAGTGCTAAAACAAAGCTAAAAAAAGGTGATGAGATAGTGGTAGATCCCCTCTCTCTCTCTCTCTCCTCTCTCTCTCTCTCTCCTCCCTCTCTCTCTCTCTCTCTCTCCAAATATAAATTCATACTTGTACAAACATACAAACATACACACATACACACACATACACATATACTTACATGTACATATACATGCCGCCAAGTTTCCATCTCAAAATTTAAACTATTTAATGCATAAAATATCTGAAGATATTGGTTTTCCATGGAATGAATCGACTTTCCGCGGATATGCAAAACAGGTAAAATGCTTTCATGAATGCTTCCGAGATGATTTAAATTGGCAAGCATTAGTTTTAATTAGAAGAATAGAGGGAATGGGAGAGAATGGAGTTTGAAGAGGAAAAAAGAGAGATTTTAGTAATTCCAATGACCCATCTCTCTCTCCCTGACGTGTAATCATGATCTAATTCCGGATACTTGGCGATCAAAGATCATCCCGAAAATGACCAACAAAAATATCACTGATATGGCGAGCAGTTAGATCGAATACGGTATCGAATGCGTCTTCTTGAGGAAACGAATGATTCGGTGAGAGCTATATATGGTTGGATAATTCGTTGACAATTTTATAAAGATCAATCAATAATGCGGGAATATTAAAGATATTCAGCATGTAAGGTAATAAATTAATCAAGTTAAAAATTAAANTCTATANATTTCAGTTTGAAAAATTAGACGGAATAATTTTCATTTCTAATTTTTTTTTACTCAGAATATTCACAATGTAAAACAAATAGTAAAATCATAAAGAATTTTCATAGTCGCTCATAAAATTACAAAGAATTTTCAAATTTTATTATTTGCAATAATTGAAATTGAAATATTGCAGATATAACGTTTCAAATATGTGGCGTTGTATTTTTCTTGATAAAGTGTTTGAATTGTCTGCTCTTTTCATATCAATATCCATAGCAAATCTATTAAATGAAAGTCGAATAAAAAAATATGAGAAGACGAAAAAGATGAAAAATAAAAGGTATATATTTTATTGATTAATGCAATAGATAATTGAACTTTTACAGTTTCTTTTAAGTGTTATCATAAAATTTCAACTTTTGTCTTGGCAGAAAGGTGTCAGGAAAGAAAATCAACGGAAATGCAATAATAGTTTGTTCGTTCATCATTTCGTTCATCCAATTGTTTCCTTTGCTTCTTTTTGCTCACCTGTTGAAGATGAAAATTGGTTATAATGAGGGAGCAAAAATGAAAGTAAAAGAATAATTAGGAGTGAAGCGATCCGTGGCGTAGCATATTTTGTATTTGTAAATCATTGATCGAGAAGCAATTGCAAAATAATCGTACAATTTCCGCTAACCATTTGATTCCATCCGGAATGTGAAAGTAAAAGATGGACAGCAATTAATTGTTGATGTGAAATATAATTCGTCAAATATATTGTAGGAAAATGAAATGTTACGAGAAAAAAAAAAAAGGAATGAATGCTAAACAGATTGCAAAAATTGAATGATTTTTATTTGCTCAATAAATTAACTTTTAATTATCCATTCGGTACAAAAATTCTCACATTTTTTCATTGAAAAATTTTTGATAATAGTGTTTTCTAAATCTTTTCTGCTATCGTCACTTTTTCTTTCATTTAATAACTTTAATTATGTATTATGTCAAAAATTAATTTTAAAATGTTAATATGTTAATTTTGAAACAAAAAAAAAAGAATACGAATAATTGTAAAAGAAAAATACAAAAAAAAATAAAAATAACTTTTATAACTTTTACTAGGGATATAATAAGATAAAGTAAAAGCAGGTGTTGTTTTAATGAGTTATTTTGCATAAGATAATGCTCCAACATGAACAGTATCAATAGGAATAGCTTTCCTAAATGAATTTGAGAAATAAATTTTAATGAATGCTCAGTGACGTTCTCGTTTGCAGATTGCTTATTTATTTATATACACTGAAGTGAAATTGTCCTACGGGTAGAAAATGTGAACATTGATGCATTGGGAAAGCAACGATTTATATTTCTGACAGTTTCACGTGGAAAGCATATGAGATGGAAGAATTTGAGAATGAGGCACTTCATTTTCTTCATTTTTTCCTTTGTTCTTCGAATTTCATCGTAGGATCATTCCTTACAGATGTATTCAGAAAGAGCGAAAAATCAAATTCGAATGCTTAGATTTAAAAAAATTTGCAGGAAAAAATGGAAGACAAAAATTGTAATAATAATGAATTCCGAATTTAGTTTTTCTGAATCTCATTTCTTCCTGTCATTACAATGATTGCAACGATCAAAAAAAAAAACCTTCCAAATTAAATACTAATTTCAAATTTCAGATTTGAAATAATTTATAATAACGAAACAAACTAAATTTTTTCTTGTTTTTCTCTTTCACTTTTTATACTACACTTTTCACCGAGATTTTCTGGCGTTCAATAGCGAATTAATCCTACAATTAATCTCAATCGGCTTATCAATCATTAATTGATGAAAATATGGCAAGACTGTTAGTTAAAATATAAGTAAACAAGTTTGTTATTGAAGTACAAATAAAAAAATCTGTTAATTAAGTATATCGAAAAAGAAGAATAGAGTGAATTGGAATTAACCGTAACGTAAGTGTTCACCTTCTCCTATTCTATGGTACGGACGTGGCGGAATGACGGAACCGCAGAATCGTTTAGATCCACATTTGCTACACGGAATAGTCACATTTTCATTGCGAATTTGTAAGTAAAATATATATGTATTATTCGTTTTCCTAAATATGTTAATGCTGTTGAAATTAAAATAAGTCATAAAAATGATTGATTCCTTTGAAGATTCTTTAACAAACATCCGCTAAATTTCACATAATATTTCATTAGAAATGTTCAAACTTGTCGATGGTAACATATCACAATAAAATTGCATTTGAAATGAATATCGAATTTTTGAGAAATAACATATTTTATGATGAAAATGAATAATCCACAAAGCTAGTAATGACCTGAATTCATTTGATCGCATTTAACAATTACGAAACTTAACAT